GGGGGTCGAGATCAAAGGTCAAGGTCATAGGGAGCTATTTCTACACTATTTTTGCTCTATACCTCATTAAAAAGTGGTCGAATTTTAATAAAACTTGGTCGACTTATGTACAATATTATTCCTCATTGTCTTACCAAAAATGGTTCGTGTCCGTTAACACGGACGGACGTACTGACATATTTTCGTATTTTTTGAGGGCCGAATATGATCAACGCTGCGTGGTAGAGGTATGCGCTCTTTTGAGTGTCCCTCCAGTTAAATCTGTGATGATACAGTCTTTTCCCTCAAGACAGTTCTTAGAGAACAACTTTACAATTTGTATGTAACAGATTGCATACCAATGCACGTGTTTATTCTTTGTTGTACATTTGTTATTTATTTTAAATAAGTTCAGTGTGGTGGTTGGGTGAAAAAAAAGCCAATGCAGCAGTAAACTATTGAAAACATTCAACTGAAACGTATGTAGTTTAAAATTTATTCTCCATAAATGGACAGAAGTAAACTAAAGAAACAAGACTAGTAAAAATTGTTAATTTAAAAAGGTGGATTAGGGATTGTCAAAAATGTACAGAAGACAATTTGAATCAAAATACAAAAATGCAAGCCCACAACTAGGGTATTCTAAAAAAAAGTAAACAAACAATGCTGGGAATAGTGTCTATATTATTTTTTCAAGCTACAAATCCCTACTTTGACTCCACTAAAACTGATAAGTTCTATAGACACGGAGTCAAAATATCTAAGTTTGGAATACTCTAACAAAAACAGCTGTGGGCGATTTCCACAGGGAAAATGTTTTTGATTAGGGTTCGTTCATTATTAATCAATTTGGTTCACATAACGTTCTCTGTTCTACAGTTTAAACTTCCAAGAAATGGTTCTATAGCATCTTTCCGATGAATAATCAGAAAATATGCTGAGTAAGTAGTTCATCTTACCAGCGAGTGTTTAAATTAAGCATGCCGCAGGTCACAGAATTCACCGTCGATGACAGGTAAGTCATTTGAAACTCGCATTACACTAGTTGTCACACACATACAACATTAGATTATATCAGTACAGTAACATAAGTTATGCATTCCTTACACAGTCAGCATTTTAAACAAGCGCAGCAGTCCTGTCATCTAGCGGATATAACTTTAAGGTCTTGACATCTCTCAGCATTTACTAGCAGGTTTATCAAATTACAGCACGTGACTGTGCGATTGTTTAAAACAGATTATTATTATTTACCTTTTCAACACGGTTCAGGGAGCACCAAGTTATAAAGGAAGCTACTGCACAATACATGAGGATCAAATCGGTACTGGCGTGATAAGAATAAACTCGTGAACTTTTAGATAATTTCTTCGTTTTTCATGAAGATATTTATTACAGAGTAATAATTAATTTCTCTGAAACTAAGTTTGTGAAAAGGAAATAGAGACTGGGCACAATGTAAGACAGGATAAACAATCTTTATTTAGAATACAAACACAGGGTTTATACATGCTTTGGATGATGGACAATCGCATTAACTGGAAATGAGCTTTTCTTTCTCCCAAATGCACTTCATTAAAATTGCTACCAGACTGATCAAACCTAACGCTACTTGTTTAACTTTGAAACATCAGAGCAACTTTGCACTACTACGTGACTGGTCGTTCGCATTCAAACATAAGGGAGGACCTTGAGACATCATTTTACCTACCATTGAATATCGTTAATGGTGACATACATTAACAATGTGCAGCTTTCCTAACATTATCTCCCCACGGCCCAACCGGGTGTTGTCTCGGAGAATGACAAAAAAAAACATCAACAAAAGTAACTAGAGCAACAGCAATTGCACCCAGTGGCTCAACGGAAAGTCTGAGGGCTTATAGCGCTAAAACTCTGGCTTAAATACCTGCGGTTGGCACAACAGAGACGGCCCAATAGGTTTCTTTTTGCTTGATAAGCAAACAAAAGAAACTTAGTCTTTCTTGACCACGTGTTATGTGAAAACTGCACATACTAGAATAACTGAACAATTAAAAAATGTATTATGTTAAAATAATAATGTAGAAAACGCAGGTTATATCTTCGTTTTATAGTATTTTGAGAAGAAACTACCCTGGTGGCTGGCTCGGCGGTAAGCGTAAGGGCTTATAAGACTAAATATTGGAGATCAATAGCCACTGTAGGCACAGCGCATATAGCCCATTATGTAGCTTTACGCTTAAACTTGAAATCATCTAATGAAATAAAAGTAACACTGTAATTAATTTAAACGAATACTTAAACTTACCGGTATCTTAATTTAAACTTGGATAAAAGATGATAAATTGACACGTCTAAATGAAAACTATTTTTATTTTGTGCGACGTTTCGGGCAAACGCGCTTCGTCATGCAGTAAAGACTGTATTACTGCCTGATGAAGGGAGTCTTCCTGAAACGTCGCAAGAAATAAATAAAATAATATAAAATATTTTTTTTTCATTCAGACTTTTCAATTTATTCTAGTTTTTTTATTCAACTTTTTTCTTCTCGCTATTGCATAACAACATTCATTCTTAATTTAAAGGTAATTATTTGCTAGCTGTAGACGCCTATTGTAACTGTACATACTTAAAAAGTTGTGGAGTAAAAAGTAAATTTGTTTGTTCGTTTGTTGTTAAGTGCAAAGCTGCACAATGGACTATGTGGGGTTCGAGCCCCATGTTTAAGATTTTAGGCTTATGACCCCAGCTTAAGTATATTTTAACAAGAGAATTGTTTCTCTTCTGATATAATTGTGAAAAAAATATTTGCACATACAAAAATTAATGTCATGCCTAACCTGGTATAAATGTTTTAATTTTCGCTATTATTAAACGAAGAACATTCTTATGGTAAATAACGTCGCATCCCAGCTGAATTGATAAGCCTTATATTGAACGATAGGCCTTGTCGGCACTAGATATTGCAGATGTACCGTAGCTGACATGTTAAAATATTCTTCATTTACTCCCCACCCCCCCAGTGGCACAGCGGTACGTCTGCGGACTTTCAGTGCTAGAAACCGAGTTTCGATACCCCTGGTGGGCAGAGCAAAGATAGCCCATCGTGTAGCTTTGTGCTAACACCAAAAAGTATTCTTCTTTACTTTTACTGGTAACTTCTTAGAATTACCACCACCCCTTTCTCTCAACACCGCCATCCCACCAATAAAGACTAAAGAAAGGCTCACGAAAGAACCAATAAAATATAAAGCAAATTGAGAATATCGGACTAAATTATGCAAGCTATGCAGTAAGAAGCTTTAAGTGTACGGGTAGAATAATAAAGTGCTGCTACCTGCTGGCAATAACTTTTCTATAAGATATTTTTAAAGAAATAGAATGATTATTCATAAGGTATATTTGGTAAATATTTGTGTGATTTATGAACACATATCTATTGTCAACTGCTAAAGCAAAACAACGAGAACTTTTTAGGCTTATCGTCATTGAGGTGTACATGTACTCATTTATTAAATACCGGAATTGTTTTTGATATAAATGAAATAGATCAAATTAACTTTTAGTGAAGACTATGAAAATACTTTAAGTTTGCACAATAATATTATTATCAAATCAACTGCTGAAATGGGGCGCGTGTAGTAAGAAACTCGTGCGAAGATAGTTTTGAAACGTGTTATTACGCTCCTGTTATTCTGCAGAACTATCTTGTATATCTTCTTGAGCTCCTGTTATTCTGCAGAACTATCTTGTATATCTTATGCTCCTGTTATTCTGCAGAACTATCTTGGTTGACTAGCTGCTTCCCCATCTTGTGTATCAGTTCAAAATTAGAGACTGTTTTCTGTAATGAAACTAACATTTTGCGCTTTATGTGTGACGCTGGTATTTTTTTATTATATATTTAAATACTTTCTCATTAATAGAATCTAGGTTTCAGTTTATTTTCTAGGGTCCGCTGAGATCCATTACTGTAACATTGCTTTTACTTAAATCGGCTGACATTGAAAACACAAAGGACAATTACTACAGGCAACATTTCAGGAAAATCGTTAAATTCATCATCCTTTAAAGACAATTCGATCAGCAGGTTAGGTACATAATATTTAGTACTAGCGAAAGTACCTGGCATCGCTCGGGTTATTAGATTGATATTGTGTGTATTCTGAGCCCATTTTAGCATAAAAGTATAACCTATATACTTTTGTTGCTAAGTGACATGGCATCAAAGCCATTGTTGGAACACATTGTTACCAAATAGCACTGGCTTTTATATAAATTAGAAGTTGTTATATAAGGAACCACTTTTTTCTATGTGGTTTTTCGCTAGCTTGCCTCATTAATTAGATGCGCACGCATACGGATAAGTAATTATACCAAATTAGCATGTGTGCAAAATTTCATGTTTCTAGGTTCTTTCATCTTGGGGCTATGGCGGTCGCACATACACAGACACGCACGTGCGTGTCTGTCTGTCTGTATAATTTATATTTGTAATATAAGGAACCACTTCTTTTTTTATGAGGTTTTTCGCCAACTTGCCTCATTAGAAAGATGCGCACGCATGTGGATAAGATAAATAATAATACCCAGATGCACACCCTCAGGGTCCAATTAGTAAGTTTGCAAAATCTCAGGTTTCTGGGTTCTTTCCTTTTGTAGCTATGGCAGTCACACACAGACCCACAGACACGCTATTTTATTATTATAGAATAAAATAAACATTAATTTTAGCAGAGTTTTTAAAGAGATGTAACAATATTGTTCAATGGAAAACGTCATTTAATGCGTTCTGTTGAACTAAAATTTAATTGATTCGCTTTCAAAAGATAGGAAACTTCTTAATATATCAATTTCCTAAATAAATTTAAAAGTTCCATCTAATGGTTACTTTCTAGTCACTAATTTTCACAAACCTGAAGATTTTTTACAGTTATTTCTAAGTGGTCATTTTTCGGGAATTTCAAGACCTTCAAAATAAGAATGTTTATTAATAAGCATTTTTAGCAGTGTTTAATTGAAAACGTTTCTTTCTACAGGCTTTCCAAGTAGCAGAAGAGGAACTTGGTATTCCCGCTCTTTTGGAGGCAGAAGACATGGTAAAGTACGAAGAACCCGATAGACTCAGTATTGCAACCTACGTCTCCCAGTTTTATCAGTTTTTTGAAGGACATGGGCGAAGTATGTATCTTTAAATTTTTTTTCAGTCATTTCGTTCACTATACATGATAATTTTGTTTAGACAAAATCACAAAACACTTTTCCAGAAGTTTCTTTGTTGCTACATTTACCCACGGCTCTCAAAAAGTTAGTGTGTGTGTGTGTGTATAAATTCTAAGATTAAATGACTTAAATTTATATTGGTTACCAACGAAATAATATGATCTTTCAGTGAAATGTCAAACAGAAATTTGATATTACTGAACATTCACTGTATGGCTGCTGTTAAGAAGTGCATGCCCCAAGTGGTTTCGGTATGTCTGCAGACTTACAACGCTAGAAACTGGGTTACGATCCCCGTGGTTGGCAGAGCACACATAGCCCATTATATAGCTTAAGTAAAAACAAACAAAGAAACAAGAAGTGTAATACTAGCATGTCGAGTATGTAGGGCGCTCGCCCGTCGCGTTAGAGGTTCCTGATCTAATCCTGCGCTAGAGAGCGGGCCTTATCTCAATGTCATGTGATGGTCACTCATCTTTTTTCTGTAGTAATCCAATTTTATTTCCTCAGCACGGTTTCGAATCCGAGACTTTCTCATATGTCAGGCGAGCGGTCTCCCAACTGAACTTAAGGGTTAACCCACTAACTATTCCTAGTAAAGCACTTTTTGAATAATTTAAACTACCACAACAGTATTAATCCAGAACTAGTTAAAAGATCGCATTTCACTTTTCACTAGCATGAGAACCAAAACTATCTTTTTGTTGTCTTATAGTTGGTATATCTCCTCAGAAATCGGCCTTAAAGAAGGGTAACGGGGAAAGGAAAATGGAGAATATTTCATTAAATGAACCTTTAACGGTAAGTGGTATTTATTATTCAGTTTTAATTAATATAAAGCTTCGAATTTGCTGTATGGATTGTTACAATACTGTGGTATCCTTAGGTAAAAACTGACTTTACTTGGAGTAGGGCATATACTGCCATCACTTACACTACGATACACAAGATGGGGAAGCAGCTAGTCAACAGCATATACTGCCATCACTTACACTACATTTGTTTAATCAAACAGCAAGATTTAACCGTTACTCTTAAAAATAAGAGATTATTTCGAAAGTAGGGACTCGCGTAGCAGTGAGAAGGAAAAAGATGTCATTGAAGGAGGAGTATAAGATACATTTTTTCTTCTAATAACATTAATTATTGACCTATATATCTTGTATTTCATTATGTTTGTATACAAGTGTGTGACTGTAATAGAAACTGCAATACAAACTTCAGGAAATAAAATGTATTTATAACCACCAATTCTCGCAAATTGCTGTTTTGTTTCATTCCTGGCTGCATAAGGCGAGTGATTGTTCCAAATGAGGGTTTGAGCACTCATACTTGCTCCCATTTTTTTAGCTGAGGCATAGCGGCCCATAGAACGGCTCTGACTTTTTTTTTTTCAAGTACAAACGTTTAGCTCATAATTCCGTCACCTCTTGACTGATTTGAGATCTAATTACAGCTTTGAACTCAGGAGG